AATGTCACGGACAAATAGTCCCACATCGGCTAGGTGTAGGGCCGAAAAGCAGTATTTAAGTCCTGGGCTGCCCACCACCCATAAGGGCTCTTTTGGGAGGTGACAGACGACTCTTCTTTGGGTGCGCATTTGGTGAATTTGTATCATTCCAACTAATTCTTATGTATTTATATATGTAATTTCTAAATTTTATTATTTACAATTATGCCCTAAATTTTGTTTGCATCGCATATGAATATTATTATTTATTATTTAAAAAGTGAAATAGTAATGATATATTGTTATGTCATAAAAAAAAAAAATTTATTATCAAGTGTAAATCTTGAGGCATTTTGAACAAAAAAATTATTTCAAATGTGAATTGATGGTCATCCAATATCTGATTTTATTAAACTTATAATTTGACTGAGTGTCTCGACAAGATGAATCCAAAGATTTTGTTCTATATTTAAGCGTAATTGGAAGATTTTGATGTGCAATTGAATGGCCAAACATATTTCAAATCTGAAAGTTTATAATCTAATCAAATGTCTCGTCGAGCCAAATCTTAGAAGCCAAAGACCACTCTATTTTAACATCATTAAGATAGTCAAATGATCTTAAAACACTATACAATCAAAGTGATTACTCTAGGTCATCTGATGGAGTGGTCCAGATTCATGTGGTATTTACAGATGATATAACTCACAAATCTATAAATCAACCTCCATTCTCTATTTATGAATGAAGACTTTGGAATATGGACATAAGGAGAAGACTTAAGGGAGATCCAAGTTAGGGTGTAAGTGAGTCAAGCTGACTCTTGAATTGTCACGAGCTCATCTCAAAAAGTGGCTTGTGAACTAAGCTCGATCTCGGCTTGTTAGCTCGTGAGCCTGCTCGTTTAAAAAAATATTAATAAAAAATATATGCATAATGTATTAAATTTAAAGCATTTATCTTAAAAGTATTAAAATGTCTCAAAATAATATTTTATATTTTATATTAAGTGATTTCTTATTATTTCTCTCTTAACTGTTCATTCTATTTATCATTTTATTATAACACTATCCTGAACTAATATTATTTTCTCTATTTTATAATAAACAAGTCCACTCGAACTCGTTGACTTAAGCTCGAGCTCGAACTCGGTAAAATTAATCAGGCTCAAGCTCAAGCTCAAGCCGAGGGTGGCTCGAGCTCGACGCCACTCATTTACACCCCTACTAAGAAAGATTTTCAAGCTCCACCACCATCTTGCCACCGCCACCGCCACTGTCGAGCTACACGACCATCAGACTGCAATTGTCAAGCTCTATCATCACCGAATCATCAACGCTTGGCCACTGCTGTCAAGTTGTCGCCACTATCTAGGGTTCTTTCTCCTATAAATGAAGAGCACGATGAAATGCTTATAAAATTTTATCTAAATCACATTTCTTTATTTTATTTGTGAGTTGCCAAGAAAAAAAATTATCTTTTATCATTGTTTTAGACTCAATTATCATCATACATAAAAATAACTTTAGAAGTAGGGTCGTCAAAACAGTGCGTTGTTCGCAAACAACTCGTGTTCGGCTCATTTTGGCTTGAAATATTACTCAACAATTATATATATTGATGAGTAATATTTTAAGAAAATTAATTAACTACAAGGCTACTAAAATTTATAATCAATTAAATGTCTTAATTAAGAAAATAAAATAAAAATCATTAAATTAGATTCAAATGATGTTTCATTATAAATAATAATTTTTACATCTTGCCTAAACCCTTAACATCTAATGGCTATGTGATTAGGGTTGTCAAAACGATTCTTTGTTCGTGAACAACTCATGTTCGACTCACTATGCAAATGAGCCGAACATGAACACGCTTTCTGAGCTCGAAATATAAACGAGCCGAACACGAGCAAAGCTTATGCTCGCTCATGTTCGGCTCGTTTACACCCTTATTTAGAAGCATGTTATTCTTAATTATAAATCTCTATTTCAGTAGAAAAAGGGCATTATCAACAGCAAAGAAAATCAATTATCTTTTATAGTCTTCTTCAAATACTTGCATGTTTAATTTTCAAGAAAAAAAAAACTTAATTCATTATCTCAATAACAAAATATAAAATACAAAATAAACAGATGACCATATGAGCATTTCAAAACAATCCATACTAAAGTAACATGAAACAAATAAAACCTCTTTTAAATTGACAATGATATTGTTATGTTTGTTCGTAAGCCTCTCCGCTTCATTACGTGCCCGATGGGATGGTTTTCGAGTACCATCTAGAGAGGTGTCAGTATTTAGCTCAAAAGCACAATCAGGCTTCTGCTTGAGGAGAAATTATTACGTGTGGAGGCCAGATATAGAATTATATCCTAATCCAATCCTTAACTAACTTGTATGATATTTCAAAAACATTATTATACATAAATATTACAGAAGCTTGACCCGACCCATATATAAAATAACTTTAAAAATTTAAAATACAGAGTACGAGGCATTTGACGTTTCAAATTCTATAATGACGTAAGTATTTTAAATTTTATTTCTATTTTAGGGTTTAATAGTTGCCATTTTCTCCATTTTCTTCCTGTCACATGACAATCTTCCAGTCTCCAAAGGTTAAGGTTCATCGTTTTCTCTCTGTCCTGTCATTTTGGTTTGTTCCTTTCTCTCTGCTAGATGACATTCATTTTAGAGCTCGACATATCTCCATGTCTCCCATCATTCAGTTTACAAATTGGTTTGCTTGCATCGAAGAATAGGCTACTTATTGCCTGATCTTTCCCTTTCTTCTCGGATAAGTACATATAAATATGATTGCAAATATCACTTTGTTGCCATTTTTTAAAGGTTTTTTTAATTATTTTTAGGCTCATTTTTCTACTTTGTCTTTTTTTTTTTTTTTTTTTTTTTTTTTTTTTTTTTTTTTTTGCTGCATTTTTCTTCTTTACAATATGTTTTTCTTAATGTTTTTCTTGAGTTCAACTAATTTGCACTAACATTTTTGTTCTCACATTCATAATAATTTTATTCATAAAAATTTTTATAGTTTGACATCTTTTTTTAGTTGTTACAAATATTAACTATTTGTCATCAATTGTTATTTTATTTTATTTTTGTGCACGTTGTACTTCAATTTTTCTGATCATACACCAACATTATTCGTGCACAACAACGCTGCATTGATTGTATTTAACATTGCACATACATCATGAACAATTTTCTTTGCTTTGCCAACATTTCTTGTGGCTGCAAACATCATGTGTTTGGCATAAACATTTTATTTGTTTCTAAGTTTTGTTTCTATTGTATAACCATGTTGTACATAGTTGTACCACAAATTTTTCTGAAGTACAACGAGTTTGTAATGTTTGTAATGTTAATTTGATTTACAAATAATTCTAATTGTTTTGTGCCCCTTAAATACAAAGTAGGAGAAAATTACCCCTTTTTTATTTGGCTCACTAACTTCAATGACTACATATACTTGGTTCAAGGATCATGTCATTTCTCATATTAAAACTAGAATTAATAGAATTTCATGCAGTACTAGCTTTCTTAGTGTCTATCCATCCACTTTCTAAAGGCTCCATCTTTCCCAATTATTTTGGGTAAATTTTTACAAGCCACTCACACATAATTTATTTAAGAACTTCTAGACAATAAGTATTGATATATTTTCAGCAAATCTTAATCATCTGACACGAATTTTGAGGCATGACATAGACTGTCGACAACACCCGCCGACTGCCGTTAATAACTTTCAATTGTCGCAGATCATCGCCTTCTACTACTGATCGCAGTCGAGCACTACTGTCGTCGTCAAGCACCACCGACCGTCGTCGTCCGCTAAACACTATCAGTCCCCACCAATCACAGTCGACCACCATCGACTGGAAGCCTGCAGTCAATGTTGTAACTTGGAAAACCTAATAACTCTTTCTTGTCTTTGGAAAAATGAATCTCTGTAATCATCAATCTATAGTGAATTTTTATATATAGGTCAAATCCCGTAGTTTTTTCCCCCTACGAATTTTTCACGTGCAAAACTTTTGGGATCATTATTAGTTGTTTTCTTTTATCTGAGTGCGTGTCTAATTCTCGTGCAACGTATGACCGCAATCAATTACTCTAGATTCCAAAAATGTTTTTGTATATATAGGAAGTTTAATTTAGACCACACAACTATTATATATTCACATATCTAACATCTAAACTTTCATATTTACATCAATAATACTCAAATTATTGACATCACATCAAAAATACTATTATTAGTTTACTATAATGAAACACACAAATTACATTCATAAGTTTTTAATAGTAATATCTTACAAATGTAAATGTCAAACCTTAGGCTTTAGATATGCAAAAGCGTGAGAATTACGCGGTATGTATGTTAATTTTCTTACACACACAAGCAAGTTAGTAGCATTATGGGCATAAATGAGTCGAGTCGAGCCACCCTCATATTGAGGTTTAGCTTGATTAATTTAATTGAGTTCAAGCTCGAGCTCGAGTATAAGCTTAGTTTTACGAGTTTAGGCTGGCTTGTTTATATGAAAGAAAATAATAATAATAATTTAAGCTAATATTATAGTTAAATGACAAATAGAATGAGCATTTAGGAGATAATTAATAAGAAATCACTATATTTAATAATTTAAAAAAATTGAATTTTAATATATTTGGAGTATATGTTTTATTGATTCTTTTTTAAATGAGCCAATAATGAGTCGAGTTGAGCGGATTTTAACTTGTTAACTCATTGAACTCATTTAAGACGAGCAAATTAAGCTCGAGTCAAATCACGAGCCGGCTTGACTCACTTTGGGCCCCAATCCATTCGTGTTAATGCGACCATGCGGGGAACTCGACATCTCCTTTTTTAAACAGGAAGTGTCATTCAGGGAAAGAATCTGGAAGCATCAGAGCCCTCAGCAGGCTTCAAACGTCATCGTCTCCTTCCCTTCTTTCTCCTTTCTCCAGGTTTGAATTCTGCTTTCTTTAGCTTTTCCTCTAATCCGTTTTCTATTTAGATTTTCACCTTCTGCTGTTTTTGCCCTGGATGGATCGCGCTGGTTAGCTGCTGCTATCATCTCGTCGATTCTTATTTGAGGTTGCGATCTTAAAATTTGAAGAAATATCGTTTATGGCTTTTCTTTGAGTTTTTGTTTGTGGTTTTAGAGTAGTTTATTGAATCAGATGCGATCGTTGGTGGGACGGGAGGTATTTGGTTGAATTTTTCTTTCTATTTATTGATTAGGGTTTTCTTTTTTTTTTTTTCCGGTTGGTAGGTTGATCGATTAAAGTGTTTTAGGGCGCGTTGTTTCGGGTGAGCTTGGTCTTAGTTCATGATGTTTCATTTCTTATGTTTTTATGATCTCTTAATTCCATGGATTTGAATAGATTTTAGATCTGATTTTTTTTAAACTCTCTTTTGATGTTTATTTTTTTCCTTTTTCTTTTTGGTTTTATTGGGCAAAGGTCGTCCATCCAATGAAAAGATGGTATTCTCTTCGATTTGATTGAATCGGCGTTTGAGTTTTTTTAGTGATGATTTTCTGTTAAAAGTTTATGTAATTTCGAATTTGTTTGAAATGATCGCGCTGTGATTTTCTTTTTCAGAGATTGGCGGTTGACTGTGATATAGTATAGATGGCTAGGGGTGTTGGGGAATCAACGAGCAGGGATGACTCTAATGTTTTCAACTCTGGAAGTAATAGTACTAGCAACAATGATGCTGGAAGTTTTGAATGTAACATTTGCTTTGAATTAGCACAAGATCCGATCGTTACACTATGCGGCCATCTATATTGCTGGCCCTGTCTTTACCAATGGCTCCATGGCCATGCCCATTCTTCTGAATGTCCGGTTTGTAAGGCGGTTATTGAAGAGAATAAGCTAGTTCCTCTTTATGGCAGGGGTAAAACATCTACAGATCCACGCTCTAAATCCAATCCTGGTGTTAATATACCTCATCGTCCCTCGGGACAAAGGCCTGCAACTGCTCCGCCCCCTGACCCTAATCATTTTCCTCAGGCACATCCATGGTTCATGGGTGGGTCACCTTTGGGCAGTGCGAGATTTGGGAACTATACTTTCTCTGCTGCTATTGGTGGTCTGTTTCCATTGCTCAATTTCCAGGTGCATGGATTTCCAGATGCAACTACTTATGGGCCAGCTGCTGGATTTCAATATGGCTATCCTCATTCATTTCATGGCGGGCATGCTCATGGTTACCCCAGGCAAGTGACACATGGCCAGCAGGCTGATGTGTATCTCAAGGCACTTTTGATCCTGGTTGGTGCTCTTGTGATTGCTTCTCTTGTTTGGTTTTAGTTAATTGTAATTTCATATTTTTCTACCCATGCATTTATGGAACCATCAATTTTATGATATTGTGTGAACTGAAATGTTTTCATTTTCTCGATGAATGTAGAAATCTAAATTCATTGCTCATAAAAATCATCCTATGTACCCGATTATACTAATTTGTAGCTTGTCTTAGATCTATTGTGTTTTTGATTGACGTTTATTTTCAAAGCACTGTGGTATGAGTACATGTGTCAAAATTGGGATTCATTGCCTAATCTGTTGAAGACTGTGGTGCACAAAAATTACCTTTTTTTTTGGTTATCTTGTGTACTATACGCTGCAGAATAATGAATGCTCTTTTGATATGAATACAAATTGTAGAAAACAGGTCCGCTCATTTTTCCTTGTTGTATTGTTAGTTTCTATTGCAAGTTAGTCTGCACATTAATCCATTATTGAACACCTTTTATCTATAATTACTGCAAGTTATCATGTATTATGATAATTCTATTGTATGATATTTCATTCCTATTTCTTTGTAATGAAAAAGTATTGTCCTTTGTCACCTGGTAACTGCATGTCGTGCAGTGGTTTTCAATTAGCTTTCCAAACTTCTATGCTCACGACCTACCATTTTTGCATGTTCCCGTTCCAATTTATGGTTATTATCGACTAGGATGCTTGATTTGGCTTGTTTTGGCATATGAAATTGGTGCAATTTAGAAGATTTTAGTGGTCGGCCGAGTTTGGAGGGGACTGTGTTGAATGTCTTAAGGTTGTAGAAATGTGAAGGTGAGGTGGTGTAGTCCAGAGGTTACAAAGCTAGGTAACCGTGGAGAGCTCCAAACCTGAACACTTATGTTCAGGTTTGTCACTTTACCTAAGCCCTAAGGGAAGTATGGATGGCGAGATGGCTGGAAATGCCTATGGAGAGTTAGTTTAGGATGTGAGGATATGGTTTTGAATTAATTGTGAGATGGGCTTGTCTCTAGAGTGGTATAAAGGTGGTGATACCAAGACTAGTTAAAAGGAACTTAGTTTGGGCTAATTTGCTTTTAAACTTTTGTGGAAGGGATTATGGGAGGAGAGATGGTGAGAAATGGTTATGAAGGACTAGCTTAGGGTCTGAAGTTGTTGGTGAGGTGGGTTGGCATCTAGACGAGTATGGAGATGGAGATGGAGATGCTGATATACCATGACTAGCCCAATGGGAACCTAGTTTCGCTTATTTGCTTCCAAAACTTAAGGTTATGGATGAATGTTGATGGGCTAGCCATTGGAAAACAAAAACTGTCTGATGGAAAACACCTAAAATTTCTTACCCAAAAGCAAAACTTTCATTTTCATTTCATTCCAGTACTTTAAATAAACATTACAGTGACTCTGAACTAATATGATTCAAAAAGAAGAGGTAAAATAGTGTGGGAAGGTTCAGCCATTAGAAAACGTGGTAAATTTCCAACTACGTGCCTTACTTAATTGCCTTTTCCATTCAAAAGACTTAGTTGGCCGGCCGAAACTTGTTCAAAGGTTGATGTTTGAATTCAAATTTTGAGTCATAAATTCAAATTTTAAAATCCAAATTACAATTATGGGTTTTCAGTTCCCACATATTATTTGATCTTGAATGAGCTATTTTGATGGTTCCTTATCTAGTTTGATCAACTACCGCATCGTTGTTGGCTAGCCTAAGGGCAATTTTGTCTTTCGTGTGCCTAAGGGCAATTTAGTCCTTTATTATTATTATGGGTATAAATAGGTTTATTATATTGAGAGTTAGGTTTATGTATGAGATTGAGTTTTGTATCCTAGGTTTAGGGTTTGGGAGAGATTTCGTGCTTCTCAAATTATAGGAATTGGGATAGATTGTCTACCTCTCGAATTGTAAGCGCTTATCTTTTGTATTCGTGTGAGTTATTAGTTTTGTAATATTTTGATTTGATTTTCGAGAAATAAAATAAGTGTTTGCCCTAATTTTTTTTTGAAAAAAGAGTGCTAATTTTGACGAAGGAATATGTCACAAGACATTGTTATCATTTGGTATTCTACACAATCGTGTTTGTATCTTAAAAAGGAAAATTACTTGGACTGACAGGTTATAGTCTAGTTTTTATTGTTAAGCATGTTTACTGTGATGTTTAATTTGACTGATGCAATTAAAGGTGAAACAAGTATTTGATTATCAATTTTGATTACTTATTTCAGTCTGGTTATGTTCGAGTAAAATAGTATTGATAGCAGTCAGCTCTAGATTATAGATAATGGGGTTATGAACTTATGATGGCTTCTATAATTATGTGTTTCTATTTTCTGATATATGATGCAATTATTTACTGTTAAAAATTTCACATTATTTAATCGCACCATGTGTGGAATTCTTCTTGTTTGCCATGTGGTTGATTCCATGAGAGCTTGTTATTTAAACAAATTCAGGATCTGCTTGATATCTCATACTATATAATTATTTGTTGGAATATTTACTTGCATACAGCACAAGTCCTTTGTATTTGCATATCTAGCACTTAAATTTTATTTTATATTTTATATTTTATTATATTTATAGCTATGCATCAGAGATTGTATTTCACTCAAATACAGCCCTAAAAGCAAGCCTTTTGATTTTTATTTAGAGAATTTTTGGCCAACATCTAAAGATTCATATTTACATTCATACCATTCAAATCCTTAACATCACATAAGAAATACAACCATCACCATCTTCTTAGGAGTGAAATACTACTTTTTCATGCATAGGTTAATGACACCAGGGCATTATAAGTGTGTGTACCAAATTTTGGGTGATGGATATGTAAATACATAAGAATTGTGGTAGGTAGTAAATTTTCCTATTCTTTTATTGAAAATTTTCTACATACATTGATGTTTTCTATGCAGAATTCATGGTATAAGATTACCTTTTCCGGATTGTTGATCTTTGATGATTTTTAGAATACTGCGGAATTATTTTATTGATATGAAATGTTGGGTATAAATACCCTTATATAATTTCTAGAATAGGAAAGACAAGAAAAAAAAGGAAATAACACGAAAGAAAAGATATAACACCTATATCTCCAATTAATCAGTTCATAATAAGTACTTGGAGATAAAGGAAAAGATATAAAATAGGAAAGCCAAAAATATGAAAGAATAAATCTAATTTCAATTATCATAACTTCTAACAGGAATAAATTATTTCATAATATAACTTTTAACACTCCCCTTCAAGTTGAAGCATGGTCGACAATCATGTTCAACTTGGGTTTAAAAATATCAAACAATGGGTGAGGAAGAATCTTTGTGAGGTAGAACTCGAAGTCTTCATTCCATACTTGGTCATTAGCCTCGAGAGCATTTAGAGATATTTTTATTTGAGTGTGGTTGTCTTTGACTGTAATTTATTCATTGTCTATAGATAGGTAGAAGGCTCCTATAGGTAATGCTCCCAGGCTTCTTTTGGGGGAAATTATCGCGCTCTCTCTCTCTCTCCCTCCCTCTCCCCCCTTTCTCTCACATCTCTACATTCTGACTTTCGGGGCGTGCTCGTCAAAAGACAAGTTAGGATTCAATAAATGTCATCTTTGTTTGGCCGTTATTTATGAAGGGCGGTTGTAAAATTATTGCGAGACAAGTAAATTTTAAAAAAGTTATTATGAGAATTATAAATATTTATTTTTAAAAAATAAATCAAACATCAATTTCTCTTACAGTCGTCATATTTTAAGGTTCATCCATTAAGTTTACCTGGAAACAGGTTTTCAAATAGAATTGCCGTGACAATCTTGAATGCAAACTAGGCATAAAGTTATTTTAAACATACCCTTAAAAATGGCCATTATGGATGTCATCATGAAGTTCATGGTACAAATCGAATAATAACAGTCTGACAGAATTTATCGCGAACTTGAGTAATTTTGTCAGGGTGATAAGGATCCTAACTCCAAACCATTGAGAATTGAAAGTTCTACATTTAAGATTACTTGCTAGGGAGATTTTCACACATCAATTAGGGCAGTGATGAATCGAGCTTGAGCAAGTTCAGATTTGGGTCGTGTTTGATTTGAAGTTAGTTTGTTTAGATTAATTAGAAAAAAGTCGACTTGAAATTTGCTTGCTCGGACTTGGTTCGTTCAATAGAAGGCGCAAAATCACATGACTACACAACCTGTTAAGATATAAGCTAGATATAAATATATATTATTTTTTTTTATTTCAATTTAAAATGAGTGGAACACGACCTCACAAAGGTTTGTTTTTGTTTGAGTCATTTATAATTCGAGTTTAAAAATTTTTTGTTTGGCTCGTTTGCTCACCGAACAATCCGAATACTAGCTACTTAACAATCTGAATACGAGTTGTTCGTGTACGGCAGACAGCCCTAACAGCAATGCTTTTTTCATGCCAACTTTTGAGATGACCTTGATTATGTGTAAACGAATGCAGGCAGCATCTTTGTTTGCTCTGCATTCAACATATTTGATGTCGCCACCAACATTTTGCTTGGCATCAACTCAACAATGACAAAGTAATGAAGTAGCACAAGGTAAATGAGTCTTCACTTTGGCAAAGCGCGGATTAACTCGAGGTCTGAAAAGTATATTACTAAACTATTAAAATTAAATCTGATTATGGAGCAGAGGTGCAAATATAACTTTATACCTATTGTTGATCTGTTATTACTAATAACAGATTTATTAGACTAGTATTTGCAACCTAAAGAGCAACACAGATGTTGAGGAGAATTTTCTTTTTAAATAATGAAACAATTTCTGCCATAACGCCCGGATTGGGAAGAGATGCATGTCGGTGAGGGCTTCAAGGATGGAGACAGCAAGAGTAACCGATGAACCATGTGCTACATCTTCCATGGCAAAGAGACAACTAAGAACTCTTTGCCAGTAACCCTTGTGCTGCATCTTCCATGGCAATTCAACAGACCTAAAGTCACATGAAAGAAGTTTCTAAGATCCATGTCTTTATCAGAGTAATTGCATGCAACCAAGCTATTGGGAAGTTGAAAAAGACTTGGAATAGACCACATCATACATAGGAAAGTCAACCTAAGCGTATGACAAGGGCCCAAAGTGGGTATGTCAATGGAATGGTCAACAATTTCTAAACATATAGAGATGGCCTAGTCATGACTCAATGGATCCGTCTTCCTAAGCTAAAAAGT